CTATTTACAGCTCTAAATAGCATCTACTTATATTTTTTTCATTAAATATATGCTTTTTTTTCCTTTTAATGTCCTGTTCTACTGCAAAGTGAAAGTTCAAAGCTGTGGTTATTATGTCCTATACTGAGATTATGCCCTGTGATTAAGGCAAATGTCTAAACAAATGAAGAAGCATGTATATCTGGGGGAAATAGCTGTTAGGAGCATAAATGCCTGGCCAGTGGTGCAGAAATTTCCTCCAGATGCTTCTGCTTTCCCCCCACCTGATCCCCCTTTCTTTTAATTCTGTTATTTACACTGGTCTCCAGAGAAGAAGTTAAACTTCTCAGGGAACTGACTCCTTTTAAAATAAGGATAGCAGACTTTGATAATTGTCAGGAAATCTAGGAGCCATCCAGCGAGTTATGTGAGTTAAAGCAATTGGAAAGCCTACAGGAGAGCTAATAAATAACGGGATGAGATTGAGACATTTCACAGGATGAAAATAACAGGTAATTATCACTTGAAATAGTTTTACAGTCTCTTCTTTATTCGAATATAATTAACTGAGAGAGGTAGAATGCTGCAGCCTGGCGAGGTAACTCTGTCTTAAGAAAGGGACCGTGCATGGGAAAACTCCTCATTGGAATTAAGGCTGTACAATTTTTTGCATATAGGTAGAATTAAAAGGGAAATACAAGAAATTGAAGGTGAAGTGTCCCTTGCAAGGTCTGGCTTATCGACATCTACTTTTGCTGGTGTATGTGTGTAACTCAGCTGAGTGAATACAATATTGTTCTTGGCTTTGCATTATCAATTGCTATGTCACAAAGGCTCAAGACCATTTTTGGTTGTGAGAAAAGGCATAACCCTTTTCACGCACACATTAACTTCTCCCTGTTATCCAAAACTGCAATTTCTCTGTAAGATCCCCAAGCCCGGGGTGAGGGCAGGTTTATTCACTGGGGAGAGCTGTGCAGCCCCAGAGAACCGATGGAGACCTGCGCATTTCTTGGACTCCTGAACTGCGGCGAGAGCCCTTGGCGCTTGCTGAGGTCTTGCCTGAATTCAGCCTCCTCTCCCCATGGAAGGGCACGATCACTTGAAAACCACTTTGACTGCAAGTCGGATCACGAGGTCCGTAGTCCGGGTGGAATCGGTGCATTTCGCAGCTATGGTTTAACACCTCTGATCTAACTGCCTTTAGGCGGTTCAATCGCACTCTGAAGTGGATGTTCAAAGGCATTCCCCGGGGTCCTCACATTCATCCTCTCCGTGACTATTGTGTTTGCCTTTTAGGTTTAAGGGAGAAAAGACTGTAAGTGGCCGTCCCTACGGAGAACTTCGGCCAAAGGGGTTTTCCCTGGCTTTGCCAAGATTTCTCTGCCACAAAAACAACAGCAAAAAAGAGCCCGAGGAGAAGAGGGAAGGAGGAAATCTCCCCTCCCTCGAGGTGCGTGGATTAATGTGCTGTGGGAATTGCTTCCCAGGACAAGCTGTGCATTCAGAGGGTGGCGTTTGCGGAGGTCGCAAAGGCTGCGGCTTGGGGTCGTGGGAGAAACCAGCGGGGAAGAGGATGCCGGTCCTTGCGGCAGCTGCCTCCATCCCTTTTAGGCAACCTTTCCAGCGGGAAGGGACGAGAAAGATTTAAGATCAATAGCTGCAGTGGTTAACTCCGTCATAAAGAAGCCAGGACGGGAGATTTTAGCACAGGGATTAAAACTGCGAGGATGCCCGTGGGCGTGTTAGGGATGTTTGTGGAGAGGTGTCATCGCTTGCTCCTGTCGTGACTTGGCTTTTTTCCGCTAAGGCACGGCACGAATGCGGCATAAAGCCAGGAAAGTGCCTGTGAGGAGGGAACGGTGCGGGGGGGGAGGCAGCAGCGCCTTTCGAGCCCGGGGGCCGGGGATCGGATACAGCCCCAGAGCCTCTCCCGGCGTTCAGCTCCGCCGCCTTCCTTCGTGTCTTTGCTCATCTGCAAAGAAGGGGCAGGAGAAGAGGAAAGATGGCCAGCAAGGGGAGAAAAATAAATCAATTGCTATTTTTCATCTTTGACAAAGTAATTAAGACTCGCTCGTCCGCTCCACGGGCGGAGGGGGTGGCAGCCCTTTCCCCGCGTGGGGAGCACCCAGGGGTCCCCAGGGGCTCCTTCGGGGAAGGGAAGCGATGTCTTCCCTTCTGTTGGAAAGACCGTGACCCTCCCCCTGGAGCAGCCGCCCTCCCTCCCAGATTTCCCCTTGGAAAGAAAACAGGGATGCCTCCAGGCAGAGGAATCTCTCGTCGGGGGTGGGTGACTTCCTCAGAGCCCCGAGGGAGGGAGGCAGGGGTGTTTGGTGGTCGGGATTAAGGAACAGCTCCTGTTCCTTAATCCCTGGTACCCATGTGGGCTGCGAGGGTGGTTCGCCTGCGGGACGGGCGTTCGGGAGCGACGATGACAAGAGGCTCAGAAAAATCATTTGAATGAACCTGACGGCTGTTAGCTGGGGCACTAACCCCCACATTGGAGGGATTTGGTTTGGTTTCAGAAAGAAACGTAAATCCAAACTCGGAGTTTGGACCAAAGCAAGTGTTTCCATCCCAAATCGCGTGTGAGAAGGCAGGGGCGTTAGGCAGCTGGGCTTTGAGGCCCCGGGGGCCGGCCACGGACAAAGGAAAATGTTTGAAAATCGAGCTGTGTTGCTCCGTGGGTCTCCCTCTTGACCAAAAATAGATCCCTGGCTCCGGGGCTCAGCGAGAGCCTCCGGCCGTGCCCCTCCCTCCCAGAGCTTTCCCTGGGATACAGAGGGAGGAGAGGTGCTTTTGACTTTTCAGAAAGTAGAGGAGATCGACTCCCTTTTTCCAGGGGTGCAACTTCGATTTCACGTTTTAATGCTGATGGAGAAAGCAAAAAAATAACTTGGAAAAGAACGTGAAGAGTTGAGTTTTCCGATTTTTGGAAAAACAAAATAAGTCAACCAAATTACTCTAGAAGATGTTTAGGGGTCTTTCCGAGCAAAATATCTCTTGGACTACTGTCTTGACGCTTTTAGTTCGGCCCGTGCCTTTGGAAGCATTAATGTAACTGGAGGTCAGCACGGCTGAGCCAGCGACCAGATCGCTCTGCGGCTGGAGGATGCCTCGAGAAGGAAACGCTGCAAAACACCACCAGCTTCCCCCCTCCCTACTAAAGCCAGCTTCTGTGAGCGCCCCTCGACTCCTCAGCAGAGCCGCGGCGAGTACATGGAATCACAGAAAGGTTTGGCTTGGAAGGGATCTTAAAGTTCACCCGGCTCGGCTCCGCTCCTGCCGTGGGCGGGGACACCCACCCCGAGAGCAGGCTGCTCTTCTGCGTGACAGAACGCAGGCAGAAAAGTGACTTCAAAGACAGGAACGTGCAACGATCTACAGACAGTGTGTGTAAAGATACCTGTATGTGCACACAGTAATTATATACCTATGGTATAGGTAAGCCCCGTTGTCTACACCTAGCTCGAAGGTGTGCGAAGCAACACCACAAGTTAACGAGCTGCGCTGCGAGCGCGCTCTGGAGCTCTGCTGGAGCCAAAAGCATTTTTCAGCTGCGAGGCTGACTGATCTTTTCGGCGAAAAGCGATTTTCGCCGTTCTGCTTTGCTGGCCCCCAGCTCCTGGGTTTCCTGGGGGCTGTCAATAATCGCGGCCGGTGAGTTCCAGCTGCCGAGCCGTGCGGGAGCGGGGCCGCGGCTCGGCCGCCGCCGCTGGACAGAGCTGCCCTGTCCCTGCAGGACAGGGGTGGCTCTTTGCCACCGCTCCGGGTGGCACCGCGCAGCCAGAGGCTCTGCAGCGCCGGCTGGGCCACTGCCAATTTCTGATTGACTTCGTCCGCCGAAACAAACGCTCGTAACCCTTAAAAGCAAGGACGCAGAAGAAACGCGTATGATGCTGGCGAGTTCAGCCCCCCACCCCTGCACAGGCGCACGCTCCGCTCCGCTTACGCTAAAATGTGAGATACTCTCCCGAGAAGCTGACACCAGCAGGGTCTATGCGGATGAACGGCGTCGCTGACGCTGAAACCACTGGGAAGATTGCGTAGGGAGCATCCCGATTCGCCAATGCGCCTTTTTTTTTTTTTTTTTCGGTCAGCGTGAACAAAATTATCTTGTGCTCAACAGATCCTTGAGAAAGCCCCTCAAGTAGCAAATCACACCTACAAGAGGTGATTAGTGTGAGACACTTCGTTGCAAAAACGATTGTCAGTCAACACCTGACTTTTAATGACGAATAATTTCTCCCCGAATAATCAAACATAAACGCTTTGATGGGTGAGGGAAGAACACCGGCAACTTCAGGGTTGATGCCGTCATCTTTGCTCCCACTTAACTGCTCTTCAGACAGTATTGATGAAAGAGAAGCTTGGGGGTTTTTTGTGTGTATATCGTTTAAATGTAATTGAAGTTTCCCACATGAGGCACAGTAAAAATAAACAATACAATGCAATTTCGTGCAACGAGACAAAGAAAGACACAATTTAAATGTATTTGTGTACTTTATACACACTGAGTTCTCACTCCGTGTATAGGTATGTAGTTAGACACAAAACTGATAATTTTTATGTTTTTATTTTTATATCCATGTATATGGATATATGAATTGATAACTTATAAAAACAAGCTATTATGACACCTGATCTGTGAACTGCAGAAATGCAGATTTTAAAAAGGGAGCTGGATTGCACTACAATAAGAGAGAGGAGGAAGAGGAGTAGAATGGAAGGTTTGTCCCCATTTCTCTCTTGCCTTGGGTGCAGTAGTACGTGTTTCTCACATGTTCCCTCTAATTACCAGAAGAAAGTTCTGCCGTTCTGCCGTGCTCCGGCTGGCTTTGGTTTAGTAATCAGCCCCCATATGAGTCACAGGGAACACGCAATGCCACTGCCGCGTGAGTGACAGCCAGCCGGGCTCCGGCTTCTCGGTGTCCCTTTAAAATCTGAAACCAAGGGTAATGATTTATCAAACTCCTATTATCAAGAAAATGTCACACGAAGGGCACCTTGCTATGCACTGACGCAAACCCAGTCTTTCCCAAGGAAGTATAGAAAGCTTTGCTCTGAACTGGGCAAAATCCAGTCTGACAATTGCCTGTACTGCTCCTTTCACCTCTATCGGCTCGATCTGTGGCTATTTAAGGCATGGTAAGTGCTCGGTTTTTTCTCTTCGGCGCCGAGAGGGGCTGGAGGCGGTGCGGACGGGGAGCTGTCCGCGGTGCTGCCGGCGGAGCCAGCGCGGAGCCCCCCGCGGACGGGGTAGGGAGGCTGCAGGGGAGGGGGCGAGCTCGGGCAAAGCGCTGGGACCCCAAAACGCCCTCATTTAGTGACCGAGTTCCTGCAGACTTTATGCCTGGTGCCGGGAGAGTGGGATTACGATGGAGAGAAAACTTGAGACGGAAATGGTGACGGGGAGTTTTGTGAGACACTGAAAAAAGAAAGGGTATACTTAAAGCTAACATTAAACTGATGGAAAAGGTGATGTTCGCCTGCAGGTTGCTTAATGTATAAAATGAAGATACATTTTAAATTGTAGTTTTAAACTGGAGGGAAAGGTAGAGGTGAGTGTGAGAGTGTCGCCAGTAACCTATCTAATGATAGGGGAAGCTTAAATAAAATCTTTAGCATTATGTGAGTCAGAAACATAGGAAAAAGAACAGGGGAAAGCTACTGTTAGTGGCGTTAATCCCACTGTGGCAGTGCGGTTATGTTTTGGGGATTTTTTGCAAAAAGCTGTCTTGCTGACGGGCTTTGAAGTGTAGCAGCCAGCTCGGAAAGCTTCACCAGCACTATTTCACTTGTTTTTTAACATCCCCGGTTGCCTACAGGGCAGCTTGTCTCTTGCTCATATATATTAAAAAAAAAAAAGCCGATGTGCATTGTTGAATGACAGAAAGGAAATGGGGCGTAAAATTAAAGAATCTTTCTACACTGGTGATAGGGAAGGGAGCATCCTACAGTCGTGATGTGAAATCTAACGAGGTCTGGCGGCGCAGTGCTGTAGAAACACTTATTTAAACTTGAATTACGGGTTTGCAGATGCTGGTGTTGTTTTTTGCTTGAGGTTTGTTGTTTGGGGGTTTTTGGCCGGGGGGGTGGGGTTTTTTTGTGTACCGTACTCTTTTTCCCCCCAGAGTGTTAACGTTGAATGGGAGGGCAAGCAGGCGAGCCGTGGCTCCTCGAAATTCTGCAACACTCCTGTGTCCCGATTTTCTGGCGCATGCGTTTCCTGCACGAGGACAAAAATTCGTATACTCTCCGCAGTGCCAACACTTTTTTTCTCTTCTTCTCCTTTTGGTAAACTATGTGACGTTCTCATTTTAGGATTACGCCAGTCAAAGGGATATGAGCAAGCAGCTTGTGAACACTCCTGAAGCGGTGGCTCCCGGGCCCAATGAGGGTGCGGGAGCTGCGAGAACCGGCCCCGAGAATGAGCCGCAAAGCGCCCTCCCGCAAGCGCCCGCCGCCACCGCCAGGCTTCCCCGGTCACTCTCCAACGACAGCAAAGCCCTTCTCTCCGAAGAAGCGAAACCAAATGAGTTTGAGAGGACCAAAGTCGGGATCTGCAAGCTCAGCAGCACCCCGGTGCAAGCCAACTCCACCCTCCGGAGGGAATCTGTGGAAACCTTCCCCTGCAAGCCGAGCCCCGGGGCAGGGATTGCCGGGCAAGCTGCGATCCCTCATTGCAAAATTCCCGCTTTGCAAAGCACAGACGGGGACGCTACTCTGAGCCTTGGTAAGAGCACGCTGGAGCAAAACAACGCCACGGGCGCCTGGGTGACCTTGAGCCAGAGCACGGTGGTGCTGGGCACAGACGGCAACACTTCTGTTCTTCCTGGCAGAGTGGAGGGGGTGAGTTGTCTCCTTACAGGTTTTCCTTCCCCCTCTTCAGTTCGTGGGAGCTCTTTGCCACTCAGCACCGATTTGGGGTGGAAGTTGTAAAATCAGGTGCAGATGAGTCAGGGATGGGCCTGTGCCGCAGGGAGGAGGGAAGGAAGAAGGGGAGAGAGGATCTTAGATCCAGTGCTGTAGTGCTGGCGAGTGCTAATGCAGTAATAGCGGTACAAACGAGCATCCTGTGCAATTCCAGCTGGTTCCTGTGCCGTGCCCGTAGATGCACCACGGCTCTGACCCGCCGTGCGCGGTGCGCGCATCCTTACGCGCCTCAGCACACGCGAAGGGTGCCTTGCCCTTCACCTCCTCAGGCTTGTCCGCCAGCCCAAACCTCCGGGGACTGCGTGCCTCGGACCCCATAACCAAAAATCGGGCGAAATAAAGCAGCCCAATCCCACGAGAGGTCCCCGGGAGGGGATGCCGCTCTCCGCTCCCCACGCTGTCCCTCTCCTCCTGCCCATCCGCGTTTACCCTGGAGGCGGGTGATGCTGGTCCGGTAAAAGAGATTTTCGCTTCTCCTGGCTGTGCTGGGAACCGGCGGTCGGTCCTGAGCCTCCGGAGGCCACCGAGGGCTTCCACACCCCGGGGAGGCGATGGGACCTCCCTCGCAACGGGGGATCGGGAGCCGGGCGACCCACCCCGAGTGCTCTGTGGAGGGCCATGCTTTAAACCCCTCTTTTGGGTACCTTTTTTTTTTTTTTTTTTTTTTTTTTTTTTTAATATATAAAGGAGAGGCCTGGCAGCGGCAGCAGGGGCGACAAAGGAGTGCGGACGGGAGGGTCCCCGGCCCGGCTGCTGCTCGCAGAGGCTCTCTCCGGTGAAGCCGGCAGCATCGCCGTGCTTCTTTCCTAAAGTGGCTGGTTTCCCATCTCTCTCTTCTCTCCCTCCCCACCTTTTTCCCCCCCTTTTAGGAAGACGATGTGGGGGATGAAAATAAAGCCCGAGGGAACTGGTCTAGCAAGCTGGATTTCATCCTCTCCATGGTGGGTTATGCAGTGGGGCTGGGCAATGTCTGGAGGTTCCCGTACCTGGCCTTTAAGAATGGGGGAGGTATGATGGATTTTTCCTGTCTCTCTACCTGCAGTACCGTACGGGTCTGAGCCTGTCCCGGCCTTTTTGGCTGGGAGAAACACGAGGGAAGCGGGGTGGGCGGCTTCCTATTGCCGGGCAGCCAGCCCCGGGCTGAGCCGAGATGTGGGGGCATCTTCAGACCATCAGACATACTTGGTGAAACATTTGCCTGGTATATTTTTCTTCTTTTTTTTTGTTTTTGTTTTGTGTGTGTGGATTTTTTTGTTTTTGTTTTTGGGGTTTTTTTTGTTTTGTTTGTTTTGGGGTGGGGGTTGTTTGTTTGCGTTATTTTTGGCTTTGGGTTTTTTGGTTGGTTTGGTTTTTGTTTTTTTTTTGGTGGTCAGTTCTGAAAGCAGGAAAGCCCTGATGAGATTTCCTTAAAAGGGAGCGCTTTCCTTAAAAACACCTGCAATTGGTGCTGGCCGGAGAGGGAGGAAAATGAAGAGGCGTGTTGAGCACAGGGGCAGGGCTCCGGAACCCCCTTCTCCTCGGGTACACACAGTCGAGTCTGGAACCGCAGTCGGTGGGATGGGGAAAGAGGAGGGACTCTAGAGTCGGGGTAGCGACAAGAGGACGTTTGATCCCGAGTCGAGACATCCCGTTATTTCGTGAGGTTTGGGGGAATTGTTTTAAACCTCTCCATGATCCGATTGAAAATAATCGTTTGAAATAGAGTGAATGTCGATCAGCTGAATAGAGGAGAGGAGAATTGGAAGAGGGGCTGTGCCGTTTATAGTTTACGAGGGAAAGAAGAAGAAGTTTATTCACAGAGGATCTCCTACCACAGGCTCTTACTTAAACGGAGAACTCGTGGATGTTACTGTATTAAACCCTTACAGCTGTAAAACCCTTCTCTCTTCGAAAGGGCTCTCAGCTGACGGGAGTGGTGCTGTAATCATGGAAAACAGTTCTGTAGAGCCCCTAACAGCCGTTTTCTGCGAGGAAAGTGGCAATTCTAAATAACTGTTTTAAAATTGTGAGCTTTTTTTCATTTTACACGTAGAAACGTCTAAGTGGGAGGTGTTAAATACTCATTTAGCAATAATGAGTATTTACTGTCTGTAGAAAACGCTGGAAATGTAGAAAGCCGACACCCATCTTCCCCCTCCACCCCTTCCTCCTGCCGCGTGGAGGTTGTCGGCACCGGGAATCGATAACAAAACGAAAAATTTAAGTAGAAAAATGTCTTGACGAAGTTGTCCCCAGTATCACGGGGTGATTCAGGTTGCTCTCTCTTCTCTCCCCCCGCCCCCCAAGGTGCGTTTCTCATCCCCTATTTGATGATGTTGGCTCTAGCTGGGATCCCCATTTTCTTCCTGGAAGTCTCCCTGGGGCAGTTTGCTAGTCAGGGCCCCGTGTCGGTCTGGAAAGCCATCCCCGCCCTGCAAGGTGAGCGGAGCAGGCGCCGGCCCGGTTTTGGGGAGCATGACCCGCGCTCCGGCTCTCGCATGGCTTCAGCCGCCGCATGCCACGGGCGCTGCGCGGGCTCGGCCCTGCGGGGCCGCCTCCCTGCCCAGCGGGCTGTCCCCGTCCCCGGCGCTGTCCCTGTCCCCGGCGCTGTCCCCGGCGCTGTCGCTGTCCCCGTGCCAGAGGAAGCCGATGCTTCGCAGCCGCCGGGCCCCGCTGCCGCCGCCGCCAGCATTAATGGCTTTCCCTCCTGTCCCTCTGTCTGTCCGCAGGCTGCGGCATCGCCATGCTGATCATCTCGGTGCTGATAGCCATTTATTACAATATTATTCTGTGCTACACGCTTTTCTACCTTTTCGCCTCCTTTGCGCCCGTGCTCCCCTGGGCTTCCTGTAACAACCCCTGGAACACGCCAGACTGTAAAGATAAAAACAAACTTTTGCTAGGTAAGTTGGGACACGCTTATACTCTTCTTTTATTTATGTTTTTGTTTTTATTTTAAAGTCTGTGGCCGTGGTGGCTTTGCAGAGGTTTCTGCAGCTCAGCTGCGCAGCTGGGAGATGCCAGAGGAGGCTGCGGGTGACCGCGGCCGGGAGAGGCTCCCAGCACCGGGAACGGTCTCTTCCCAACCTATTTTGAAGTGATCTGTATCCCATGGGCACTTCCCTCTACTTTTATTTCAAACTTTCCTTACCAAGCACAAATTAGATTTGTCAATTTAAGTGCTTTAAAAACGCCGATTTTTTTTTTCCCCCTTCGGAGAAAAACTGTGTAGGCAACAAAATACCACAGCTGGCAGCCTGGAGTGTCTGCTAAAGACGAATTATTTGTCTTTAGAGAATCTTCCCTTTAACGAAAAAAACCAAAACCCGTTTCTGCAAACGGTCCCAAGTACACAATGACAATGAAAACGGAAAAAAGTCAACCTAGTTAACAAACTTTTGGAAATAGTGTCGGCAACTGAACAAAAGTTCAAGTAATTAGGTGTGGCCTAACGCGTTCTTGTAATTTTACAACAACAACAACAAAATCCGCTTTATTTTTCTGTTCCCTCACCTCATTTCTTCCTAGATTCCTGCATCATTGGCGACCACCCAAAAATACAAATCAAGAACTCTACTTTCTGTATGAGTGCCTATCCAAATCTAACCATGGTTAACTTCACCAGGGAAGGAAACAAAACATTTGTCAGTGGGAGTGAAGAATACTTCAAGTAAGATCTTTCTTTGTTCAGAAAAACTATGTTAATCTTTCTGTAAAATCCACTGGAACAGGCAACAACATGGCTTGGAAAACCAGAAATACAGTAGTGAACAGCAGCAAATTATGCTCTTTTTTTTGTACTTAGGAATGATGAGAGCTGAATTCCAACACTGGATTACTTGTTTTCTGTTCCTGTGGTGCTTAGCACAGCTGGGGTGTTGGCCCATGCCCGGCAGTTTTATCTACTACTGCAATGCAGATAAATAAAATAATACATGGTGACAATCACTGGAACCATCTAGAGAAACTGCTGAGGATACTGAAGCAAAACAAAAAAGGAATTTGTGCTGAAATGCTGCCTGTGGTTGCTTTCATTACTTTTTTTCCAAATTTTTTAAATTTCTTTTTTTCCCCCCCCTTATTCTTAGGTACTTTGTATTGAAGATTTCAGCAGGGATTGAATATCCTGGTGAGATTAGATGGCCCCTGGCATTATCTCTTTTCCTAGCCTGGGTGATTGTTTATGCCTCCCTTGCTAAAGGAATCAAGTCATCAGGAAAAGTAAGAACAATGTTGGTAATTGTACACTCAAAATAAAGCAGGTGCTGGCTTTTAGGGACTCGCACTCTCATTTAAGGGATGAATTACTGAAAATATTTTCAGTAAATGACTAAGTATTAATTGAAATGCCTTTTTTCTCTCTGTGTTTTACTTTCTAGTCAAAACAGAAAATATTTTTGTTTGACTTTTTTTCTGTAACCTTCAATAAATTTTAAATTAACTCTTCAGCTGCACTCAGCAGAGGGATGGCACAAATGGTACTTTCTAGCCTTCCCTATTCTGTGTGGTGTTCATAAAAATTCTGCAGTCATCTCACATTTCACTGGAATCTGGGAAATTTGGATGTAAGTTAGATGTTAAGTAACATATTTTAAAATAAGAACTGAACTTTAAAAACTCACTGTGTGTGTGTGAGCAACACAACCAGGTATTTCCTGGGATAAAGACAGTGGAAATGGAGACATGAATTTTCCAGAGCTGGTCACAGAGTTCCAATTTGAAGCCATCCCTTTGCTTCTAGAAGCTGACTTCATCTCTTGGGAGGTCACTTGGCAATTAACAGGAAATCCAGGGACTCAGAGTGCCAGGGGAAAGTTGAGATTTTTTTCCCCCTTACCCTAGTGGAATAAGAAAAAAACATTCCTTGAAAGGCAAGAGACTGGATAATAATGTAGGTTTGGATGTGGCAATGGTCTCTAAGTGACTCTTCGTGGCTCAGAAAAATACTGGCACTGATGTCAGAAAAAAATATTGACTTCTTGGTGTGAGAACAGAAATCCTGTCGTTATGTAGAAATTAGTTCAGTATCTTGACTGTCCAGAAATTCATCAGGGCAACTTTTGAAACACCTCTTGAAACAACAAGAAAAATTTGAAAAGCAAGTTTCAAAAGTTTCAAAAGTCACTTCAGCTCAGACCACAGGCTGAGGGAGGGGATTCTCCCCCTCTGCTCTGGTGAGGAGCCACCTGGAGTCCTGTGTCCAGCTCTGGAGCCCACAACACAAGAAGGATCTCTTGGAATGAGTCCAGAGGAGGCCACAAAGTTGCTCAGAGGGCTGGAGCCCCTCTGCTATGGAAATAGGCTGAGGCACCTGGGGCTGCTCAGCCTGGGGAAGAGAAAGGTCCTGGGACACCTTCCAGCACCTTCCACCACCTAAAGGGGCCCCAGGAGAGTTGGAGAGGGACTTGGGACAAGGACATGGATTGACAGGACGAGGAAAAATGGCTTCAAACTGACATAGGGAGGGTTTAGATTAGATATTAGGAAGAAAATCTCCTCTGTAAAGGTGGTGAGGTCCTGGCATGGGTTGCCCAGAGAAGCTGTGGCTGCCTCATCCCTGGAAATGTTCAAGGCCAGGTTGGGCTGGGTTTGGATCATCCTGGTCTAGGGGAAGGTGTCCCTGTCCATGGCAGGGGTTGGAATGAGGTGATCTTTCAGTTCCTTTCCAACACAAACCATTCCATGATATAATTCCATCCATGTGTTATGATACGATTCTGTTTTGTTTAGGACCAGATGTTGATGTGAAAAATATTTGAAATTGTTTTGTGTTGAATGTAAAGCTTAACTGGACATGATCCAACCATTTTATTTTAACACAGAGAGAGCTGTGTTCTAGATAATTATTAAAACATTAAACACACAGCTCCTGTTGTGTATTTAGACACCATGATGATTAGGTCTGTCTAGCTAATTTCAGACTTTCCTTTTTTGAATTTGGACCATATCATTACTATCATCATGGTGATATGAAATTGTTAAGAGGCACAAATAGTAATAAAAATTCTTTAGGCTTTTTTTTTTTTTAGTTAAACACAGAAAAATATAGAAGAAAACTACAGAAATGTGTTACTGAATGGCACTTCTTATTTAATTTCCACTGAACTGTGATAGTTCACTCTGGGAAATCACCAAAAATGGGATTTTCCTTTAGATTTAAATTCCTATTGTTCCTTTCCAGATAGAGAGAGGCAACCTCTTCCCTTCTCTGTCTAGAACTCCAGTTCTTACCACTGTTGATATTAGTCCAGTTTCCTGCAGCAAGAAGAGCTGTAAAATTTCAGATTTCCAGGGAAATAACCCTGTGGTTTTCTTAGTTTATCCCCTGACTGCTGTCTCTGAGACTCAGTAATTGCTTTCTTCTGGCAATAGTGGCACTTACATTTCCCCTCCTCTCTTCTTATCCAATCAACCCTTTAAGTAACCTTTTCTCTGCTGCCCTGTGCAGGTTGTGTACTTCACAGCTACATTCCCCTATGTGGTTCTCATCATCCTTCTCATAAGAGGAGTAACTCTCCCTGGAGCTGGAGATGGCATCTGGTACTTCATCACACCCAAGTGGGAGAAGCTGATTGATGCTATGGTGGGTTTGATGTTGCACTCACAGCTGCTGGGGTGAATAAATCACAGATCTCTTGGGGTCTGCTGCAGGCATTTTCCATGTGCAGAGGTGGTGTTGTCATCTGTGGAAACTTGTTCTTCATCTTACATGGCTAAAGTATTATTTAGGGTCACTGGCAGAGAAAAACATCAGTATCTGAAGCAGGTTTTCCCTCTTGACTTGTATTTTTTGTTTCTGAATATAGTTGAACTGATATGTATCAAACAATATGGTTTTTATATTTGTGTCTTCCATATACAGCAAGGTTTATAGTGTCCTTTTATATGGACTCAATAAGAAAAGTACTTCTTATTAAATGAGCCTGATGTATTTAGTGGCAGGATTTTGCTTTTAAATAATCTATTCACATCCATTGGTCTAAAACTCTTTCCTGAAGCTGATGCTATTTTCTTTCTTACTTAGGTTTGGAAGGATGCTGCCACTCAGATTTTCTTCTCCTTATCTGCTGCATGGGGAGGTCTAATTACCCTCTCTTCTTACAACAAATTCCATAATAACTGCTACAGGTGTGTAAGACTGAAATACATATGTTTTATTAAACAGGTTTGTCCAAAACCAGTCATCCTTCATCTTTTCATCTTCCAGAAATCTGATTTGCAAGACCCCTATCTCTTGTCTTTTTCTCCCTTGTCTTTTTTTTTTCCTGCTGTCCTTTTGTCCTTTTTTCTGCTCTTGTATTTTTTCTCCTTTCCTCTCTTCTGTTTCTTTTCCTTTTTTTTTTTTTTGGTGTGTGTGTTTCATTTACATTTAACCATTTTTGGTTTTGTGTATTTTTTCCTCTCCCCAGGTCCTAATCTACTAGTCTCAAGATGATAATTTAAGCTTATTAAAGTTCCTGCTGGCTCCCCACTTTCAGAATCAGGAGGCTGAGGCTGAAGGGCAGCCTGGGACGTGTCAAGAGCTGAGCAGTGAAACAGAATCACTCTGCAGCTCTGCTGAAGGACAGCCCACGAGTAGAGTGGGCTGAAGGTTGCATTGTGAAACATGCAGAACTTTAACTTGCAACTTCCATTTATGTGATTCTTACGTCTTCTAAATGTTCTTCCTATTTGCAATTACTCTTATTATGGTTTTACATGCAAAAAGTTATTTCATGCTATGAAATCTAAAATCACTTATTTGAGAGCTATTTTTACATGGGAAAAAGTCATAGCGAATAATTTTTCATGCAAAAGCCTGCCAGCTAAAATGTCTGCAGATGGAAAACACAAAAGCAACTGGCATTAGTGGAGCGCTTCCCTGCTCTTTTACAGTTTTTGAAGTCAGTCTGAAGCAAACCTTTTTCCAATTCTTGCAATGCCAGAGGTGCTGATTGAGGACAGCCTGTAGCATGCACAGAGACTCACCCAAGAGGGTGCTCAAAAACTTTCCCTAATCAAGACTTCAAAGGAAACATTCCTTGGGATTTCCACTGCCGTCTGTTATGGCTTCCAAGTACAGAATAGAAAAAACTTAAAAAAGAAATGTGAATGAGGATATTAAAAAGGAATTGTAAAAAGTATTTTATTAGTGCTCAAAAGTAATTTAATGAAATTATCCCAAAATATGGATGAAAGCTAACAGTGTTGCATACACAGTAACTCCCATCCAGCAATCCTTTGGGTCCTATTTTGAAAATGCTATTCCTGACCTTTTTTTTTTTAAATGAATAGTTACAATCAGAATATTGGGGAGAAAATTGAGGAAACATCATGCTACCTACCTTTCTGCACTAATTTAACAATCTTTTGTGGAGTTTGGAAGATCTTAAGGAAAATTTCGAAGGGAATACATAGTAATGAAGTATAAAAATATCACAGTTCTAATATCAAATACATGCTTTACCTGAGTTAGAGAGGAAGAATATGAGAAACCTAAGTAGAAATAATTAGAAAAGCTTAGTTACTCCCAATATTTTAAATTTTACAACACAACCTTGAAAATTGAAATGAAGGATGACTATTTTCTCTTGCAATTTCTGTATTAATTACATTTTAATACATAAATTGTAATTTTCTGTTACACATTAATTTTAAACATTGTCCAAAATCTATAATTTCAGTAAATTTACATAAATTGACTTCATAATGAATACCGGAAATATTTCAAACCTAGCTAGGTTTTGGGAGAAGGTTAACACATGATGATTCCAAACAGCACACTGTCATTTTTTTTCTGTAGACCCAAGGAATTAACAAAATCATTCCTGTTAAGACATGCTCTGTTGGACATTCTGGAAGTTTGCCAGCTCAGTGAGGTTCTTTGACAGCTTTTCAAGCTGTGTTTAATTTTCTTCCTGACAAAAAAAAAAAAAAAAAAAAAAGCAGTAAGAATAAACAGTTCTAGCCAACATACCCCCCCTAAACATTTAAAGTGAGGGATTTTCTTTTCTGAAGATGTAGTAGTTTATGGGGAAGTTCTCCAGACATGCATATTAATATTAAAAGAAAAATCCTATCAAGAATGTAACAACTATATATGGGGCTCATGAGGGCTGGTTTGCTGTCAAGTCTTGACATATCCAGCACAGTAAGACGTTCAGCTATAGATTTCTTGAGATTCCTTTGATAATAGCAACCATGGAAAAATGTACCAAGGAATCCTCCTTCTACAGATAGGAAGGTGGTTGAGCAAGATCTGCAATGTACAGAAAGCTTCACCCTGGAATTTTGTGTATAAGGACAAGACAAAAATAATCTCACTTGGACAGCAGTGGTTTGTCCATACCTAATATGGAGAGCAGATGTCCTCATCAGGCAAAGAGTTAAAAAATGTGTTTTTCAGAGAAGCCAAGAGCAGATGTGCTTGCCCTCCTGCATGGCCTGTGGTTCCTACACAGCACATGGGTGATGGAAGCTTGCAGAGCTGATTCCTGGTGCTGCTGTGGAGACTTCTGTGCTCTCTGATCAGCACCAAATGCACCTGAGTGTAAAAATGTGCCTTCACCAACATCCCCACAAGATGTGTGTGCTGATGAGAAACTCTTGAAATACATATACAAAACCTTCCTTGTGCATATCCCAGCAGGCTTCTTGTGCTTTCTTTGCAGGGACACATTGATAGTCACGTGTACCAACAGTGCCACAAGTATATTTGCAGGTTTTGTCATCTTCTCCGTTATTGGCTTCATGGCAAATGAACTCAAAGTGAATATTGAAGCTGTGGCGGACCAAGGTAGGGCTCACTGGCATTTCATTACTTAGACAGGCACCCTGTGACACTTCCAGCTCTGTTATTAATGATCACAGATATATCATATATGAACACTGCAGTATCATTGATATTGGAGGTGGGAATGATGGCTTCAAACTTGTGTGGATTAGTAAACCACATGTAGGCGTTTCTGCACAGGAGAAGGTAGCCTGGGAAATCAAGATTTTAGTTAAAGCCTCTTAATCACTTGTTTGGTAAGAGAAGGAAGGAAGCTGAGACTCATTTTAAGCCTTTGTGTAAATGACAGATGGAGGGCAGGGTGGGATGGTCCCTTCATGTAGTCTAAGAGATTATTTGCCTTCTCATTGGTCTCTGCTGCTGTTTGCCAAATCCTCTTCAAGGTAAAAGTTATCTCTGGTGGTTGGAATTTTGGATGAGAGGAGGGTGGGAGAAATCTGGTGCTAGGGGTAGATTGTGCTTCTGAACTGTGGGGAGCAAGGAGATGCCTCCTTGGAGAAGTAAAACATTTCTGAAGAACTGATTAGAACATCTTGGTTAGTGAAGAGAGGTGGTCATTAGTGGGGATCTGAAAGGTCTTAATTGGTAGACCTGAGCACCACTATGCCAACGAAACCACATCTCTAAGTGCCAGTCATTACTAGAACAACCCCAGAATGAGGTCTCCACCACTCTCTGGGCAGCCCATTCCAGTGTTTAACCACCCTTTCAGTGAAAGAAATCTTCCTGATTTCCAGCCTTAACCTCAGCTTGAACTATGGTCTCTTGTCCTGTCCCTTGTTCCCTGGAAGCAGAGCCCAACCGCACCTGGCTGCACCCTCCTGCCAGGGGTTTGTAGGAGTTTTTAGGAGTAATGTTTACATTAATATTTTTGTTTTAGACTTTACCTCTATTCTGGAACAAACAGCAAAAGCAGCCCCAAAATCTAAACCACACTGCACTCACCAAAATTATTTGTGAGGAGTTAGAGCTAAAGGAGCTGTGCTTGAGTGGAGTTGCAGGGGAAGCTCCAAAGAGATGTAGAGAGGTGGGATGAGAGATGTGACTGCCAGGCATGGTGGAGGGAACACTTGGCTCAGCTGGTACATCTCTCTGGAGATGGTGAAATATCCAGCACAGGAGGTCAAAAAGTCTTTTCTGCTGAGTGCTTGGGGGTCTTGGAGTGAGCAACTAGCCCCAGGCTGGAGCTCTCTGTTCCCAGCTGTTCCAGGGGATGTGGGGATGCTGTGAGGGCATTTGTAAGAGCCTGGTCAGATAGTGTGAAATTATTTCATGAAGGTGAGCCTTTGCTGCTCTCCATGACAGAGGGAAACAAAATTTAGTGAAGTAGAAGAATGAATGATGAATAGAATAAGGAATTTGCAATAGGAAGACAGTGAAGATTAAGGGTAATTGTGGACTGAGGTAGTGCATTGCATAACAGTAGTTAAGAGCTCAAGAGCTCATGAAAAGAACAGCTCTTGTCATTGCCTAATTATTTTTTTAAGCTCTAAAGTTGTATTTCTTTTTGCAGTGAAGGAGAAAAAAGACCAAAATTATGATGAAGCATAATCTCCCTTCAAATTTTCAAAACCTTGAATTAAAATGTTAATGGAAATACGAAGGGTTTTAAATTTTTTTAAAAATTTTCTCCTAGAATATTAATCTGAAAAACATAGTATGGAATTTTCTTTTCAGGAAAAACTCATTTATCTGATAAACAAATAAAACATGGAGGGAAAGACAGCACAACCTTTTTTTGTTCTACTCTCTGATTAAGAACATAGTGTAGTTGAAAATTGTTATACCTTAAAACGGAAGTTCAAGGTAATTTTACTTTTTAAGAAATATAAATACTTGGAGTTTTCCTGGCTTTAATACACTTTTATAAAGAGTTCATACCCACCAAATTTTGGAAGATGGAAGGAATGGGAGTTTGCCTCCTTGTGACTATTTCCTGTGGTTGGATGCTACCAGGTGTGTGTTATCTAGGGGAGCTGTAAGGGGCTGACATGGAGACATGCTCATATTCTATAATTTAACTTTTCCCAAAGGTGTGATTAATGGAAATTCATTATTCTGAGACTTAATTAAACTTCTATATGCAGGCAGTGAGTTTAAGCAGAGCCCTTATCTCCAACAGTTAAGAAGAAATCTTTAATGAAGAGATTAGAGAAGTGTTTGTAAATACAACAGAGCTTCTGCATGCAAAAAGTAATTTTTTGCAGCACATTTTAAAGGAAGCAGCACTTATTGAGTCATGTACAGAGCTTTTTTTTTTAAAAATTTGTTTTGTTTATTTGTTTTACTGTGTTTTAACTCTTGTATTTGCCTTTTGTTCAGAAGGAACCCCAAGCACTGCACAAGTTGCCCAAGGAAATTATTTTTATGCTGCTGAGACTGTATTTTTCTCAGTACATGGGCCAGCAGCAGCTCTCTCTGGAGCACAAGCAGCACATGCAGCTGGAGGAACTGGGGTACAACGATCTAAAGTAGAAATGTCCAGGGCAGAGCAAGTGGGGAGCCCATTCTCTTGGCATGAGAACAACTTGGCTCATGGCATTTGTATCTCAGCCGGCAGGAAACACCTCTCAGAGTGCTTGAAGTGAGCATCCTTTCAGCTGGGATAAATTGAGAGGAAGTGCCACCTGCTGTAATGCTGCCACCACAGCCCTGCAGGCTTTGCTCCCAGGCAGATCTAAGCACTTACAAAAATACTTTTTCTTTATGATCGATAGAAATTAAAGCCCAATATATATTAAAAATAAAACAACAAAAACCAAACCAAACCAAATGAAAAACAAACAAAAAAAAATCCCAAACCTAACAAACAAACAAAAAAATACCCAAAAAAAACCCACAAAAAAAAACCCCAAAAAAACCAACCAAACCCAAAGAACCAAAAAAGAGAGGATGGAAAATTCCTGATTTAGGCTTTAAAAAATTCCATCTCCTTATTTCTTGTGCTCTACATTATTTCAGGTTTTCTTGTGGATTTTTTTAGAATCACAGTAGTTATTACCTTCTGTCTGGTATCAGGTCTGGGCATGTTTCATATTCTCTCCTCATTTAACCATGTGGCAATGAGTTGAAGAGGAGTATTTGCATTTCCATTCCTGTCGTGGCACTGAGGTGTGGATGTTTGCTATGGGTTGCTAATTGGCAAGGAAGTGGCAGGAATTTGATCACAGAGCAGGACAGAAATATTGCTGCAGTGTGTGCAATCTTTGCTAATTTAAAAAAAATTGGATCAGTATGTTTTTATACTGGTTGAATATGCATTCTGCTTGGAAAGTTGGAGTAAGTAAGTGATTTGAAATTTACAGTGTAAATAGAAACTAATCAGGTAAGGCTAAACTCTGTAATGTTTAAGCCTTTCTGTAAATAAGAAAGATCGAATCTGATAACCTTTATTTTTCTTATTTCTTTCTAGGTCCTGGGATTGCTTTTGTGGTTTACCCAGAAGCCTTAACTAGGCTGCCACTCTCTCCCTTCTGGGCTATAATATTCTTTTTGATGCTTCTAACTCTTGGATTAGACACCATGGTAAACTGCTTTTGTGTCAGTGCACGTATTCAAAAGACTTTCATACAGTCTCAAGTCATTTTCCACCAATAGCTCAAAGATATGAGAATAGACCAAATATTTACTGACACTTTTCCAGCGGTGCTTTTGTGCTTCATCAGTTTTAGGGACAGAGACCTCCTGAGCCAATAGAGGTATCTTTTGGGGTGACCCTAGCTAGATGCCAGGCACCCACCAGGGCTGCTCTATCACTGCCTTCTGCAGCTGGACAGGGGAGAGAAAATATAACAAATGTTCATGGGATGAGATGAGGACTTTTGTTGGACAGATTGTTCAACCAATACTGTCATGGGCAAAACAGACTCAGTTTGGGGATATTAATTGCACTTATTACTAAGAAAAACAGAGCAGGATAATGAGATAAAAATAAATCCTACGAGCACCTTACCCCCACCCCTCCTTCCTTCCCAGCTCTGTCCCATCCCCACAAGAGCGCAGGGAGATGGGGAATGGGAGTTATGGTCAGTTCATCACAGGTTGTTCCTGCTGCTGCTCAGGAGAGGAGTCCTTCCCCTGCCCCAGGATGGGGTTATTCCACAGGACAGTTCTCCATGAACCTCTCTAATATGAGTCCATTTCATGAGCAACAGTTGTCCATGAATGTCCATAATGTGGGCCACTCTTCCACGGGGTGCAGTGCTTCCAGGACAGCCTGCTTCAGTGTGGGTCCCTCACAGGGTCACAGGTCCTACCAGGATGAACAGCCCCAGCATGGCCTCCTCTCTCCATGGGTCTGCAGGTCCCTGCCAGGTCCCTGCTCCAGCATGGGCTTCCCACAGGTTCACAGCCTCCTTTGGGCATTCCCCTGCTCTAGTGTGGGCTCCTCCATGGGCTGCAGGTGGATCTGTGCATCCTGTGCCCTCCATGGCTGCAGGGACACAGCTGCCTCACCAGCGGCTGCAGGGGAATCTCAGCTCCAGCGCCTGGAGCAACTCCTGCCCCTCCTCCTGCCCTGACCTGGGTGTCTGTAGGGCTGCTCTCCTCACATGTTCTCACCCTGCTCTTCTCTGCTGAAATGACACTTGTGCAATAACTTTTTTTTTGTCTTCTAAAAATCTGTTGTCAGAGATGTTGCTACCATTCCTGACTGGCTCTGATTTGGCCAGTGGTGGGTCGGCCCTGGAGCCTCCGGGGATTGCCTCTGCCAGACACAGGGGAAGCTTTTACAGCTTCTCATAGAAACCACCCCTGCAGCCCCACTGCTACCAAAACGTGTCCCTGCAAACCCAACACAGCATTTAACAACTTTTGAAGGCTTTTTCCCCACGTACACATCCAACTTCTCTTCCTATTTGTCCATAACGTAGACTCAAGACTATGCAGCTACTCAGAATGATTAATTACCCACAGTGGTCACACCAGTGATATTGATCCATGTTGATGTACATTAAATGGTGAGGAAGATCCTCAGTTAGTATGAAATATGAAACAGTGCAATTACCACAAAGCTGCTGTAGTTACAACAATTGATACCAGCTGCTGATGTGCTCCCAAACTTGCCCAGTGTTTTCAGAGACTGATTCTTGAAAATGTGAAGATCTTCTCACATACCATAAATAATTAATTTATGCCTGGAATGGAAGGCTGTTTCTGCTGTTGCTGTGGACAGGAATGAATAATATAGTTTAATCAGATGGGCATAAAAATCCAAGATGTTCTTCTGAAACTGCTTGTGTAGCCACTGACTTTGGGTTCTGGCCCTTTTCCCTGAATACTTGTATCTGCCTGTGTTGTGGAGTCCATTCTGTAACATAAGTGCTTTAAAATATAGTACAGGTTTCAAATGATGCAGAATTTGGTGCTCTTGTTTGAGAAATAAATGTTATAGACAGGACAGCCCTTCCTTGTTTTTTTCTGGTTCCATGGAAATTCAGCAGTGTATTTTAACCTCCACTGACATCCAGTTCAGAGCATATACCTGAGAGATTGGCTGCTAAGCCAGACATGACCTACTGAGGAAATGTTACAGAATATTATGGAAATACTCAAAATACAGGGATAAAAATTGATTTAGGCCAGTCATGTTTTGGTTAAATGAAATTATTCGCTTTTTTAATGTCCCTGGAACGTAAGTAATTCAATTAGAGTTGGTTTAGAGGTGAAATGAAACCAAGCTTCTCCAAAATCAATACAATTTTGTAGGCAGTAATGAGTGGGGAGGCTTAAAAAGATTTTAAGGGTTTGCTGGGAATTTTTTTTGCCTTCCTTCTCTTCCTCTCTTGCTGACAGCATGCCTGAACCATGCTGTGCTAGATGTTTTCACTCTTCATGGCCACCAACATCGACAGCATCACCTGGTCTGTGTCAAATATTGTCTCCTTCAAAGACATTGCTATTAGTGTGAAAGAGAAAATTCTGTGTTTAAAATATTTTAAATATTTTAAAACCTACTTAAATCTGTAGAATTTCTTTGATCTGCATGATTTTAAATAAGGATGAAGGTAAATAGGGAGCAAGAATTGGCTCTGTTCCTCCTCTGAACACTGTGTGGCAGAAGCACTGCAAACCAGCCTTTGTGGAATGGCATTTTATTAGGTTTGGAAGAAAAAACTGCTCTGGCCAGCGTTTGCTTTGCCCAGCAATTCTAGTGTCCCTTAAAACATTAACAGTTATGAAAAGCATAAAATAATGCTGAAATAATAATAGCTCTGCAAAGGAAGGGCCTGAATAAAGGAGAAGGGTTTTTTTAGTGAGTTATTACTTCAGTGAAATCAGACGTGGAAAAGGTTTGACAAATTACCAATTACTCTTTTTATGCTTTTTGTGCAACTGATTGTTCATCAACAGATGTTTATAAAACCTTGGCTGCAATCTATTTTGAAGGAATTAACCTTTTGCTAGAGTAAGGAGTTTCATTTAAATAAAAAGGAAAGATCTACATTAAAATCATCACCTGTTTGACTAATGTACCAGAGCTACTTTTACTGTGCTAAAGCCACTTTTGTAAGGACTGGGCACAGAAGTAATCTTGTGCATTTGTGATTTGTGAGTTGTAAATACAAGCAAAGCTGCTGCTCGGATTATATTCCTTCAATAAGTGCTTAAAATTGGCATAATATATTTTCAAGGTTTGACAACTGCTGTTTTACACTCCACTGACACCTTTCTCTGTGCACTTGTACTCTTCATGGAAAGCAGGTTGGCACAACAGTGGCAGGTGCTTTTATGATGAAATAAATTTGTCTTTAGTTCTTGTTACAAGTTCTGCTTGCTGAGCTTGCAGAGATTTTTAAATTAAAAAGAGACACGTGTGGTTATTTCCTTGTGATCACTTATTTTTCAGTAGAGTCAGTGTTTCATAGTACAATCAAATGCACCTTTTTATTTCACATGCTGGTTTAGATGTTTATTTTCCAATTTTTTAGATTATGATGAATGATTAGTAAAGAACAGCTGAGAGGTGGGGGTATTAACTTAATCACCAGCATAATTCCCACTGTTGCATTTTGTAGCATGAAGCTAAAGGCAAAAATCCCTGTGTTTGAGTGAAACACTGCTGGAAACGTAAAATACACGACGGAAACTTTGTTTATGATCCATTCAGAACTGTTTTTTGACAGTTTGTTTTTGGGAAGGTTCTTTGTCAGAGTGAGTGGAAACTGCTGCGGTGTATTTGTAGAAAACATTCGTAATTTTGAACATTTTACCTGTAGCAGAATAGTGAAGTAGTTGTCTGGCTAGGTTTGCAGTCTCCTTTTAAATGGGTTTTGTATGTCAGCACTTATGAAGACATCATTCTACTTCAGAGAAAAATCAGATATGGAAAATCATGTGTTGTTTATTTCCCGAAGTAATTCAGCAGGCCTGACTGATCTGAGAGGGAGACCAGATTTACTAAGATTTGGGGAAAAAAATTGGTGTTCTGTTAACTAAAATGTCCTTTGCATTTTTGTTGTGGAACGTCCACTAGAAAGAGATAAGTAATGTGCAATCCCTCTATCTGTAATATACATTTGACCCCTGAATTGCTAATATTTAAGAGTGCCTTACACTGTGAATATCTGCTGACCATTCCTAAAAGGAATTTCATTTTTTATCTTTTTAAATTGGAGTTTCAAACAAATCTGTGCAGGTTTTCATGAAGCTTACATGAATTTTGGAGGCAGAAACCCCTGGTGATTATCCAGTTTGGTATCACTTCTTTGAAGCAGCAAGTGTGGCTGAAGTAGACGCTTTGAGTAAGATTTAAACTTTGTGGAAATACCCATCAGCCTGTACCTTGTGCTGCTGCAATTAGTTTAAGACCAGATTTGTTCTCAGCACAGCACAGGGATAGCTGCTGTGAGCACCTCCCTCACGCCCACTGCAGGTGCTGCTCAGATGAATAAAACACAGGGGTAAACCTTTATTTAATTAAATAAAATTAAAACACTGCAGATTTTAATTTCCCCCCCTTCCCTAAATACAGCCATTGCAGTACCATTTTCCTGCTTAATTTCTGCATTTTTCTTCTCTGATCCTTATCATAACACGGTTCTTTAGCTTTTCTCTCACAAGCTGTGTGCCTGAGCTGGGTTACTGTGTGCTCACCCCCTGAGCTGGCCTGAAGGGCTGCCAACCATCACCCAGCCCTGCTGCTTTCTTCTGCACCAGAAGGCACTGGATGATGAACCAATGCTAGTGTTTCACTCTCTTAATTCTTAGAACAATCAGGTGGATAGATTTATTTCTCCTTGACATGAACAGAAAGGCTTCCAAACTAGGAGGATCAAGACTGGGATTATCCCTTCTTACACTCAGCAGATGCAGCAGCTGACTCTATACAATAAGAAATAAAGTAGTTTATTACTTTTGTTACAAGCATTTCTTCCCTTACTCAGGGCCTTTTCTCCAGTATTTAAGCTTTCCTCACATCATGCAAGTTAGACAAAATGCTGCAGAATAATGCTTCAAAATTTAGATAAAATTGGCCCAAAATGTTAACATTTATGTGACAGATGAGCTCTAACCTCTCTCTTCTTATAGCAATTAGGAAAGCTGGAATCCATTTTGGTTGGTTTTTTTTAAACTTTTGGATAAATTACTAATAATTAAATTGCTAATAACTAACTTACTAATAAACACCAGGGCATAGCAGCTGCTGACCAACACACCTTTTCCTGTCACGTGGCATGGCCAGGGAGGAGCTGCAGAATGGCTGAAATACCATTTTCCAATCTTGCATGTTTTGTTAACTCAAATAACCTTATGAAGGTTAACATACCAGCTGATCTTTTTGTTCAGACAACATTGGATATAATTAAAAATATTTACAGGTGCTCTTTAGGAATTGTAAATATCATTTATGCACCAGGTGAAAAGAACAGGACATCACGAGTTTCAGTGCTGAGGGGTACGGCTGCAATCCAGTCATGTAGAGGTAAAGAGAAGCTGAAATATTGCCTGTGCTGAAGCAGGTATAACAAGATTAATAAGGCTGATCTTCACAGGGGAATAAAACAGACAAATAATTGCAGCTACCCAGTACATATGCTTTAGCATACCCAGTAATGTTCTAACACAAAACATACTAAACACCTAATCTCTATGTAAAAGCTCAATTGCTTTAATCCTTAAGAAGGAAATATTTTATTGGAATGGTTCACACCCTATTAGTCCCATTTTTTACTCTGTACTTCAATCCTCCAAGGAAGCTTTCAAACAAAAATTTGGAATTTGTTTTCATAGTTAGACACGAGGGAGGGCACCAGAGCTCTGTTGCAGACTGCAGCTTGTTTCTTTCACACCTAACTGCTCTCCCATTTTCTGTTTACAGGATTGCAAAGATTTTGTGAAGATATAGAAATGATGATTGGATTCCAGCCAAGTAAATTCTGGAGAGTCTGTTGGGCATTTGTGACCCCAACTATTTTAACAGTAAGAAAAAAACAAACAAACAAACAAACATCTTCTCCTAAGAGTTTTGTTGGGTTTTGTTCATTATTCATCATTGATGATGTTTCTGGGTGTTAGTAGCTAGAACTTGGATGACAGCACACGTGTTCTTGCCATGGGTATGTAGCAGAAGTGTGAGTAACGATGGTTTCGGTGGAGAGGGATGCTGAGTCTGCCAGGAGAATGGTGGCCATGCAAAATGCTGCTACGGCACACCATTGCACTGCAACACTATAGATTATTGTATATAAATAGATATAGATCTCTGTGTGTGTGTGTGTGATATTTATGTATGCACAGGGAAAAGACAAGATCCTCCTGTGTACTGTCAGACTGAGCTAGGGAAAAAAGCTATTTTATTGTCCCAGGAGCTGGTGTGAGAGGGATGCTTTGGGAAGGCGGAGCCGAGTGGAGCCAGCGGGAGCGGGAGGTGGCGCTGCGGGACAGCGGCTGCGGCCCGAAAGGAAACCTGAAACCGGAGCGACTTTGGTCTATTTTTGTTATTCTTCCTATTTTCATTTCATTTTTGTTTCCTCCCCAACACCTTCCTTCAAATTCAGTTAGCATTTGCTTCACGTTTAGGTCTCCGTTTAATAAAAAAAAATGTCACGTTCTCAATTTCACCATTGCGATGAAAGTTTTTCAAGTCCAGGGGACCAAATCCAATAACTATATCTACATTTGCCATCTAGGTTTCCAACACAGTGCTTCCTTTACATTTTAACCTACGTGCAGATAAAATCTGCAATCACTTATCTTTTTTTTTTTTTGACGCAAGAATGAAATAATTATTTCAGCCATTCCAAAAGCTTTCAGCTTGACAAATCAGCACAACAGAGCCTTCTTTCACCAGCCTCTTCTGTTTGAGTGCACGTGCCTCCACTTGGAAATTCTCAAGCCTGAAGCCCAGGTGCAGCAAGATTCTATATCCATGTAGAGTTTTAAATGCTCACCATTTCACAGCAGTACTAAATAGTTCCGGCAAGTCACAGAGTCAGAGAATGGTTGGGGTTGGAAGGGACCTTAAAGCTCATCTCACTCCACACCCCTGCCATGGGCAGGGACACCTTCCACTGTCCCAGGTGGGTGTCCCACTATCCATCCAGCCTGGCCTTGGACACTTCCAGGGATGGGGCAACCACAGCTTCCCTGGGTGAGTATTCTTAGCTGTTCAGGTACAAGATAAGAAAAGCTTCTGGAATTTCTGAAAAGACAGAGATTTTGGAACAGTATGAGATCAGCTGGCAGGAGGAGAAGCAAAGCAGTGACTCTGCAGTCCTTTGTTCCTTCCAGAGAAGTTGTATGTCAGCTCACATGCTGGGCAGTTCATTGTGTGCTATTCTTTAGTGCAGTGTAAGTGTTGGCAAATTTTTTTTCTTCCTGGAGGGGGAAGAAAAAGGCACTGGCTGAAGTTAACAACTTATTTTCAATACTGTTAATTCACAAATGAAGACATTTTTTTTTTTTCTGAAATCTGGAAAAGGTTTAGTTTTCATAGACAGGAATGCCTGTGTAAAGGAACCTCTGAGTTTTGGTGAACCCAACAAAATCCTGAGTTGTGAAGAAATGAAACTTTCTACAGTGAGAATGATTTCTCCAATGGGTAAAATTAAGGTAGTCTACTTTTCTGGAATAGATTTTCTTTGCCTGTTGTCTTCACTGCACTACACATTGCTCTGTGTGAAAATCAGGTAGCTCTATCTTAACCACCTGGTGTTTGATTGTGACAATGTATGCCTATATTTTGCAGATAATTTTTTAAAAGTTTGAAGACATACTCCAGTTTATAGTACTAGAATGACATCAATGGTATTTATCTTTTCTTGGGGATCTTTCTAAAGACGAAGGCATGTGCACATGTGATTTTTTTAGCTCTTTTTTTTTCCCAGTGGGTATTTTCAATGCTGCCTTAGACCCTATTTTACACTTCTGAAGGGAATTGTAAGACTTTTCTGCAAATTGCTCAGATCCTTTACTAATCAGACTTGTGCTCATAGCTCCTGTCAGTAATCAGGACAACCAGGAAATAGGAAATTGTGTTGTTTGTTACGGAAAACAAATTTGAACTGACTGTGTTTACTGTCTAAACTTGCATGTTCTGTTGTTGTTCTCTCCAAATGCAATATTTAGTGAACTTACAGTGAGAAATAAATTGACACTGATAGGTCATAATTTAATTTTTATGCAATGGAAACAGACAAAGCAAAACCAAGCAATGAATTCTTTTCTATTATTGCCTCTGTAAAGCTAATATTTGATACATTCGGATAGCCTAATATTAGACTTTCATTAGACTCCACATCTCTGGAACTAAAGCTGATCATTTTTATATGTGTCTTCACCTAGTTATACTTCTATAAATCTTCTGTGTGCAATTATTGCAAACACAGGCATTTTCCAAAAGTTACTGAATTATGCACAAATGTAAGCAGATGTATTGATGTTCATACAGTAAGTGAAATTGAGAACTTATCATAATCACATTAGGTAAAACTGCCAATAGACCATGTAATAAAGCATATTATTCTAGGGACAAGATTCTAATTTCAATTATTCTGGCAAAAATACAGTGATTTTTCTAAAGAGATTTTGCAAGACTTTCTTGAAACTCATTAGATTCAGGCTGTGACCCATTTATTAGAGCTGGTGGCTGCACCCTGCCTTAGGTGTATGGGTTTTTATCTGTATTCCATATACACCAATTCTGTGTGTGTGGATACCTACCATTTGTGGCATAGCAGGCCTGTTTTGCTTACTCAAACATATTTGTTTTCCTTTCTTGTTCCCAGTTTATTCTCTGCTTCAGTTTTTACCAGTGGGAACCCATGACTTACGGAGCTTACCACTACCCAGGCTGGTCCATGGTGCTCGGGTGGCTGATGCTGGCCTGCTCAGTCATCTGGATCCCAGTTATGTTTGTGATAAAAATGCATCTAGCCCCAGGAAAATTTATTGAGGTAATCCTTCTGTCTTTTTGCTGTTTAAAAATATGGCCACAGGAGACTGTATCTTTCATTTTACATTGATTTTTTTTATATTGAATGTCTAATACTGCTCAGTTTACTTTCTGGTAAACCAGTTATTGTGTTGCAAAGAGATGCTCAGTTGATTAAAATTGTAGACCTTCTATTCCTAGTTTTTAAAAACCCATGGTCCTAAATTGTGGTTTGTTTTATGAGCTCTAGATAAATTTCATGAGGTTTTGTATGGCTTTGTTGGAAGAAAGTTGTTCTAGATTCGTTGGCCTTTTTGCAAAAGCAGCACACAGCCACAGGAAGCCTCAGCTGCTGGTGCGTGGCATGGCCAGGGAGCCTGGCAATCAGCACTAGGAGAGGTCAGTCACGAGCTGCCTGTGTGCACAGCTGGGTGCTGGAGTCACCCAGAATGAGCTCCACGGGGTTGTGCCACTCGCTGAAGTCCAGGAATGAGACACAGAGCAGGAAGGCTTTTCATACATCTCAAGCTACTTGTCATAAAACCCAGCTGGCAATCTTTGCTTTCACCTCTCATCTCTTTATTCTTCTTGAATTAGCTGATCCTTTCTGGCACCTGGGCTTAAAATAGTTCCAGGTGGCAATTTATTTTTAATTTAAGGTTCTTCTGTTTATTTTGCTAATTGGATTCCTGACACATTTCCCCACTGTTTCAGAAATGTGGTGGCCACCTACTTCTCTCCATCCCTGAGTCCTGTCCCTGCCTGTCACACCCCTCTCCCTGGCTGTTCCCATCCTGCTGGCTCCTCAGTCCCTGGCAGGATGATCAATGTCAGCATTTCATCCCTTCGTTGCCTTGCCCCTGTTCTCTGGAGAAGCTCAGTGCTCTTATTTTTGGTCTTTGAGGCTTTCTCGGTTCTGCCTTCTCATCACTGCCTGCTGCTTGTGCTGCTCCCACCTTGGGAGAAGGAACAGACACATGCTCCCCTTTCTGTAGCTGCTTTTACAGTTCAGCTTCCCTGCAAATCCCACTGGGGCTGTTTCTTGCTTCAAAAAATGAAAAGGAGAGAAAATGTACTAAAATAGTATAATCTTTTTGGTCTCTCAATATGTCACACTACACATGCCTAAGGGAAAAGACCATGCTTCTCTGCTACCCATAGAGCAAAGGAATTTTGTAGGGGAGGAATTTTCACAGTGGTGGGACACCCTAGGGAGAGCATCCTAGCAGCAATGAGGCCACTTGTCAAAAGGGTCATTCAGCTCTTGTGTAGAGCAGACTGCAGTGCCTGGTCAGGAGACAACTGCCCCTACTGGAAATGACCTAATGTGGAATTAGATTTACTTCTTCCTTATCTCATAAGCTTCTCTTGCTGACACAAATGGTTCTGTTTTTAAACTTCTCATGCGTAAAACTGGCACACAAATTGCCAAAAAAATAGGGTGCTTCCCTTACTGAGTTTCCAGGTGTGCATCCAAAGAAACACCCAAGATTTGAATATGTCTTGAAAGAGCTTTTCCTCAAGATATTTCAGATGTAGTCTGATATTTCCTCAATGTTGAGTCTGCTGCATAAAATTATTATGGTTGATTTGGGAGGAAAAAGTTGCAAACTGGTAATTAAGCAGAGATTAAAATAACTGATAGAGAGGTCTGATTCACTTTATTAGGTAATAAACATATAATTGTTCCCTCTTAAGTCATCAAAAATATGTTTTCTTTCCTTTTTATCTGTGAATGCACCAATCAAATTATATATTCAATAAAGAACTCAGTGGAAAGATCAGAAAATTTTCGTTGTTTGTCAAGTTGACATTCTCCTCTTTCTTTTTTTCCCAGTTAGAAACAAAGCATTTTGTCATCTCAAAATTAAAATCTTTCATAGTGATATACTACTTTTTGGTCATTTGTATACTTTGGGGAAATATGCTAACTACAAATCCAATTATTCTAATGCACTTACCCACTGCTTAGACCATTGGGCTAAGTAATTGTGCACATGTCCTGCAGTAAGAGAGCCTCACAGTCTGTAGCAGTGGTTCTGAGCTCCCCTCACATGGTGTGGGGTGGAATGCATAATTAAAACCTGGGCACTTGATCCCCTATTAATCTTGAAAACTTTGTGCAAAACAAATGCTGAGCAGCAGAGCCTTGCCAGGCTGTCATCAATAACCTTAAATGAGCTTATCCTCCCTTCCTCTGCATTGTGATTCTGCTCCACGACACCCAATGAGACTCTCTTTTCTCTCCCCCATGGCAGCGGCTCAAGCTGGTGTGCTCCCCACAGCCCGACTGGGGCCCGTTTCTGGCCAAGCACCGCGGCGAACGGTACAGGAACATGATTGATCCGCTGGGAACCTCCTCCCTGGGACTCAAACTGCCAGTGAAGGATATGGAACTGGGGACCCAATGTTAATAATTATTTTAAAAGGGTGGCAATAACACTGTCAGCCTTTGCTGATTTTTTTTTCCATTTTTTTTTTCACCCACTGCTTCTTCTTTTCCACAGTGCCTGAAAGTGGTTGCTTAGGAAAGCAGGACTTATTGTTGCATGCTAGAGGGGAGGCCTAATGAGACCACTTTCAGGTGTAGGTGATGCCTGTGACATGTTCTGTACCCAGTGACACAGAAAAAGCCCTGTGTGTGACAGGTGACATAATCAGGTGTTGTCAGGTGATGTAGGAACAAACAAAACCAAACCAAGAAATCTTTAGAGGTGTCCAGTTTGACCCACTTCCCACAAGCACCCTTTGTTAACAGGCGGCTGTGATGGGACTAGGATTTTGCTACCAGTGTATTCCAAGGAAGGTTCATCCCTCAAATATGATGGAAGTGAGGAAAGAATGGGATCTCCTGTAGTCCTGATGTAAATTCAGCATAAGGGTCCCGTAGCAATGGGGCTGCTTCTATACTGACAGCCAACCTTGACCCATCATGTCTGCAGATTTCCTTTATTATTTATACTAACTTGGAGAGATTGTTATGTTATTTAAACAAGTGGTGACACTTGAAACAGCACACCAGGAAGCAATATATGGGATGAGAACAGAAACACAATAATCCATTTGTAGAAAAATACGAACAAAGTTTTTAAAAATGATCAGTTGAGAGACTAAACTGCATTTGAGTATAGAAGTGGTTTGGAAATGGTGTCAGAATGAGCTGTATGGGCATCACTGTTAAAAGTCCTGTCATATGTTTTTTTGATAATTTGATATCTGTCATTTCAACTAGGAATGCTTCAGTTATACAAAGTGTCTGACAACTTGCTCCATGCCAGTGCAACTGTGATTTTACTCACCTCGCTCCAATACTCTGAATATATTTTTCCTTTTTTCTCTGCTTTTGTTTACAGTATCTCCTCAAAAAGCCATCATATAATTTGTGCCTAACTTTGTATTCTTACAGTGGTAAGTGTAGTCTAGTTACCACCTGAAAACCCTTGTTGGATGTGCTGTTCAACTTTGTGACTCCCTGTTCATTTGCCTATAAGCACCTTTATATAACCTATAACCTTTAGATGGTGTATTCTTCTCTTTCAACCAACGGGGAAATAGCAGGACCCCACTTGTCTATATATTATATATATGGCACGTAAATTCTTCAAAGCAGTATTCTCTCGGAAACATGCATAGGGTATTTTTTTCATCAAAATATTTTCATTAAATAAAAATACTCAAATCCACAAATCCACAATAATTAACCACTGCAGTCATCCACACACATGCAACATTAGATATAGAAAATGCAAGGGTTGGGGGGAAAGGACAATTTAGTAGAGGGCCATCATAGCATTGCATAGCAGTAGGGCATCCTAAATCATTACATTTTAGAAATCAGATATATGCACTCATAGGAATATTAGATTTAAATAGTTTTGTTACCTATTGGACAGAGTAAAAAAATAGAGCTTTTAAAGAGTACATTTATTTACCTAAATAGAAAATTAGCCCAACTTATTGTAAATGCACTAGAATGAGGGAGAAAAATATATCTTCAATAATTGGCAAAACTTAATCTTTATTATCTTGTTATATCCTCTACATACATATATGATATTTTTTAACAGTGATCAGTGTTCATGTAGTGTGTGCTAGTGATGTTTTATGTCCCTATAAATATCTTACCAATCAGTGTAGAAATGATGAGCTTAGTAGTTTAGCCAGTTTTTTCCTCCCCACAGACACTGCTGTAGTAGTCTGTAAATGTTCTTTCCTTTCAAGGGACAATTTCTATCCTGGTTTTTTGTCTGTCTGTCTTCATATTACAGGGTCTCAGGTAAATCCTCAGTTCATGTGTGTCCATAGGTCAGTAGGTGTGTTGTTTTCATTCTGTTGAAGAAAACAAAAAACTAAACCTTAAAGTAACACTTCCACAAATTGTTAACTCCTTTTCTCTCTGTGTGTGTATATATATATATGTGTATGAAATATATTAATCATTTCGCTGAAATTCCTCTTTCACGGGGCAATTAGTGTTGCCAGTTCTAGGCACTGCTGGAGATCTTTAATTCTCACACAGAACAAGTGAAGCACTATCAGGGGTTGTCAAGCAGGACAGGGAGGGCAGGTTCCACAATATTTTACACTGACCCCTGAATCTCTGCTCCGTGGGCTCTTGTTGGTTCCTGTCTCACACAGCAGCAGGACAGGACTGTCCTGTGAGCTTCTCTGCCTTAAAGCTGTTCCCCTTGCTTCAGCTTTGCCTGCTATTTAAATAAAACTCTTGCTATTCTTACTTCTGGCTTTTACTTTCCTGACAGAGGCAGGTTTGAGAAGCGGTGCTCTGTTTGGCCTCATGAAGGTCCATAAGGATGAGCTGGAAACTTGATTTCCACGTCTGGGTGGGGCTGAGGTACCTTCTCTGGGTGCAAAAGAAACCTAAGTCAGCACCTCTCTGGGAATTATGTGTTTCTGTTAGGATAAATCACTCTGGGTATCTCTTAACCAATATTCTCTCGCATCTTGGTTTGATTTTTGGAGTCCAAGCCAATTTGTCTTCGCTACTACTGTCATTTAAAAACAACAGCATATATCTGTAAGTTTGGTCCTCTTTGAAAAAGAGAAAACAGTGAAATGGTTTGAGAGTACTAAATCCTTTCACTTACTGGCTTGTGTCAAGGCATGCCTTGGAACTGGGATTGCACATTGCCATAGAGTTCCCTCAGTGTAAGGATATCAGTTACTGCCTGCCTGAATTATGAAAGAGATATCATTTGAAGGAATACTGCTAGGATATGATATCTTTTGGCTTGGATTACCAAACCAGACTGCATATGAAATTGCAACTGAATTGCTTTCCATGATTTATGTAATTAATCTGCTTGCTTTTAATTTAGATGTTGTTCCTGTGCCTGCTAAGTCATTAGCACAGGATTAGGCTTGAATTTGAGACTCTGTAAACAGATGACTGTGATTTTTTTTGCTAGCTGATCTTTGTCTTCAGCTTTGACCCCATTGCTAGGCTTGCAAAAACCTTTGGAAAAGGGGAGAAATGCATACAAAAAATCACATAAGATGTGAAGTTTTCACTATATGTGAAAGGCAGGGTTTTATTTTGGTCACATGAGACTTTTTCTAAAGTATTTTACTGTCCAAATCTGAAAGTTGAGATTAAATTAACCAGCAGTGTCTTCTTTAAATTACAAGTTACCTTGACATTTGGGAATGCACTTCATTTACCATGTTCTAAGGAAAGTTTGCATGTACTTTGATAATTTTCTAAAAATAAATTTAGTAACTGATAGCATAACAGTGAAGATCTTTAAAATAAAAAAGGAGGGGAAAAAGCCATATTAGTAAAAATGTAATATATGTACTTTCAGATCTATCTATCTATCTTGTGAGTAAAAAATGTTTAAATTTGGTGAAACTATGATGCATATTTTTTCTTTGAAATTAAATTGAATTTCTGGATGAGCTGAGATGCATTATTGTATGCATTAAAGATTATACCTAATGCAAATGCTTGCCATCTTCAAATTCTTTGGGGTCTTCCTAGTGTTTTTCATATGCAATGTTCAAAACCTGTGTTTCAGCTAGACAAGGCAGCACTTTGTTTCCAAAAGAAGGGTTTAACAAAATGACCTTTAATTGAGAAAGACTTGGATTGTCTTTATATGATGTTTCAATTGAGTCCAAGTAATCTTTTGATTCATTTCTGCTCCAATGACCACATTAGACGTGCCTCCACACTGAAGACCATTGCTTCTGATACACTGTGTGATGATCTCTTACCATCAAATTCCAACACCTGATTGACTTTAAATATCTTTGGTCTTTTTATTGTGTACAGTTGTTTGTTTGCATAATATGAATTCTTTTTGCCTGTGTTAAAGCAATGTTTATGTGTAGCACGCATTGGTCTCCTGTTGGTTTCTTATTCTGCAGCTCCACTTCTTCTTGCAGTCAAGGACAGATTTGTAGGGAACGTGGGCTGCAGACAGCAGAGCTTTTCGACCAGAGGCATCTCAGAAAGTTTCTCTGTTCTGCTGCTGTAAGAAACACGTCTTTCTTGGTTTGCAGTTAGGTGGTGTGCACACAAGGTACCTGGGAAATGGTCAGAGCTTGATATTCCTGAGGGGCTCAGGTGGCTGACTTGAGGCAGGAGGGGAGAGGTATCGGGATTTCTGCCTCCGTCACCCTCAGGCAGCCTAGCACCAAACAGAGAAGGTTTTCTGAGGGGTGTATCGTAATGTGAGAACTAGGTTGGATCTTAATGCTTGCAATATTTCATTTGCCCATAACATTTAAATACATCTTCAGGAAACCATTTGCCTTATAGCTATCTTCCATTGTTAGGAAAATTGACTAAAACATGTTGTTATCTGTCCTATGTATTATGTAGTATTACCTTGTAAGGTAGATACTTGGCTAGTATAAATTGTCACAGCTTTGTCTGGAGCTGTGACAATTTACACCAGCTGAGAATTTGCTCCCTGTGTCCTATGGCACTTTATTGCGGACCCATCGCTGATGGGTTAAATCTTAATTACTTGCGTAATGTCATATATAAATATATACATATATATATACATATACATATATATATATATATTTACAGGCATTTGATGGGGTACTGCTGCCTATGGATAAAGATTTGTACCCTAACCAGATGATTACAATTTTTTCATTAGCTGTATGTGCAAAAGATATATTGTTACAAAGAATGCATCATATGTATCTCATGTAGTAAATATTATGTTGCTGTATGTTGTTAATTTCAGAAATCATTATTCTTGAGGCCCTACCTCAAATTTTGTATTTATGTGTACAAATGCAATTTATTGTATTATATACTTGCCTAATATATTTGAATGTGATAAATTAAAATTATTCAATAATGTATGGGCTCTAAAGGCTCTAAATAAATATCTAGTGTTTTAAACAGAAATGACATAAATTTCCCTGGTGAATAAAATGTCTCTTTTTCCACCACCTCCTTCCCCACCCAACACACACCACAAACATCATTCTTACTTAACACACAGACTTAAGGTGTCTTCAGAATTGATCCATTTGATTGTTAGAAACATTGAGCAGCAACTGGAAACAGCCCTCCTGGGAAACGGGGATGTTGCACAGCTGCAGAAACAAGTATCATTTAAATGGCTGGTTTCTAACTATTGAGTGTTCTGCACTTTGTGGGACAATTGATTGCTTAACAGAGGACCAACTGGATTTGTTTAAATCCTTTTTATCCTATCAGTTCAATTATCCCAAAAGTTATTAAACTGTTAAAAACAAGAGAGGTTCATATCTGCTGGAGATGAAATGGGAGGCTGAAAGGGGGAGCAAATGAAGAAGGAAAGTGTAAGGAACAGTTTCTGGTGTTATTGTACCTTGTGTTTGAACTCCTGCCATGTGGTGAGGCCATGTGCCACAACGCTGATTTGGAAAGCAGGTTCTTCCCTTCCCAGCCTGCTGTGGGAATGGGAATGGTACTGGTCCAGCCTGTTTCACTGTTGGCAGACACGAGCTTTTGAGAAGCTTTCCCCAAATACAGTAGCTGAAGCACGATGTCCCAATGTGTCATCAGAAGTGGTATCACAAGAGATACTTGTGCCAAGAGCATGATTCCTTTCAGGAGAGGGTTTGAACCTGGAGACTGCTCTGTAGCTGAGTGGCAGGATATTTCACTTTGTTCTGTCTTTAAGCTCCCGTTTCTCTGAAATGTGCATGCGTGGGTAAAGGAGGTGGTAGGACCTGGTGATGGAAGACTACCGTCATTCTTTGCACATTACCTGTGCAGGCAGATTTCATTTTGGGGAGGTCTGAAGTTACCAGAGAGCATCATGAGAGTCCTGAGAGAAAGCTGAGTGTCATTAACGCCCTTTTCAGGAGGAAAAACTGAGGCATATGGAATGTGTCACACTCTCAGAGCCACCCAGTGTAAGTCAATGATACAACACATTGATTTTGGGAGTAAGAGACAGTCATTTGCTGTCACCATTAGGCATTGACTGCATCAAATCTTAAAATTCATGGGGACAGATAAAAATCCATGTCCTTTTGACTTGACTGTATGGACTGACCATGGCCACAATTTAAACCAATGTGTGTTACTTAACTGCTGGAAGATAGCCACATACTACACTGCTTACACATGTGTTTAGTCTGAATTAATTTTACTCTTTTGGTGCTGAAATTCCTATAACCAGCATGGAGGTTGAAGGGTACATCTTATACCAAATGGATTAATCAGTTGTAAAGTTTAGTTTAGATTCTCAGTCTTCAAACATTAGCTGTGTGTTTTGGGAATTAAAAATAATAATAATAAAAAAGAGCAGTAAGTATTGCTCTATGACTGCATACAGAAGTAGACAAATTATTTTTATTAAGGCTTCACTCTAATGGATTTGTTAGTTAATTATGCAATTGTAAACCCTAAAGTGGGTACTTTTAGCCTGCTGAACAGATTATATAGTCCTTTACAAATACTTGTCAGTGGTTAAGGCAAACACGGCATACAGTAATCTCCCCTTCCTTTCCACCTCTTCTTCACGGTGCTCAGTGTAAGTGCTGCTGCTAATTCTTGCCCTCTACTGGCGGCAAAGCAAACTTTGCTCGTATGGATCGCAAGTGTCCCCGTGGAGCCAGGCTTTCCAGGGATGCGAGCCTAATTTGTGAATCGAGGAGGTTTTCTACCCCACGAGCTACAAGTGGTGGGCTCTCCCCTCCCCTCCTCTCCCCTCCCCTCCTCTCTTTTTCCCAGGTGGAAGCACTACTGTTTCCCAGCATTTGCAGACACTTGCAGTGTCAGTGTTTTTAATTGCATTTTAGCTGTGGCATGCAGACAGCCCTACAACTATTCAGAGAGACATTGTGCCTACTCCAAAATCCTGCCTCAAACTATAAAATGTCATAAGCTTTGTGGCTGGCAGGACTAACAGTTTAACACCACACAGTTAGCAACTCCACAATAATTTAGGTCAAAACCAAGATGCATTCAATGACCAATGGAGAGTGTAAAACAATATTCACAGGAATGTCATCTGAGCTGAAATCCAGCTCAGTTTCCAGGACAAATGCTTCACTCTTACAAAAGTATCTTCAGATTTTTTTTTTAAATTGCTATGAATACTCAGGAACACAGTTTTAATTCTTACTTGGAAGTCAGGCTTTTCAGCTATTTATACTTCCCATAAGAACATATCAGAAAGTCAGATTTTCTGGTGATAAAGGGAGATGATTTTTTGCCATTAGGGGAGGTGTAAGAATAGTGTTGGCTGCAAGAAGGGAATATTTTGTTTTCTATCCATTTGTCCTATACTTTCTCCGTATGAACAGCTGAACATATGTGGTCTCCAAATGTGTGATCATTTGGGCATTGAGCTGGACTACAGGAAGAGCTACAACTGTGGGGCCAGCTTTTTTCAGAGCATTTTTACCAAGCTGCTTGTGTAATGGCTAGGATATTCTTTTCCATGAGATTGCTCCAGATGTGTTCAAAACTGTGCTTTACATGGTGCAAATTTTTGCATGTACCCACAATAATTTTTTTATAAACAGCATTTAATCCAGGCTTAGGTTAAACAGATCACTTTGAGAATCTATGACCAGTTTAAATTGTATATTCACTTAAGACACTGCATCAAGTGGAAAATTGAAAACTTGAATTACATTCAATTTGGTGTCTAGACAGAAACTGGTTTTACTACCAGATAAGCACAAACAGATTTAAACCAACAGGAATTGGATATACAGACCTGTTCCTCAAAAAGAATTCTCTAAAATCAGATAGTAACTGATGTGCAGAACCCTGATGTCACCAGGAGGGAATAGAGGGGTGTGTCTTCACATGCTGAGGCACCATTGCCTCTTTCTCCTGTTGCTATGGTTATATAGAATAGCTGTGCATAGCCACACACTCTTGTGTACCATGTGTGTACCCCTCCTCTCACCCAGTGGCTGATAGCGGGGCACCCTAGACAAAGGGAAGAACCTGCAAAGTTACATTTGAAGAAAAAAAAGTTGCTTCGACACACTGGAGATAAATTACTGATGTGCTTTCTGAGTGGCCACCCCAGAGGTTTCCTGGAGTGCATTACCTTGCTGGCAGTCAGGAACAGCTGTTTCCAGATATCTCACTAATTAAGTAATTAGGCAAGAAGTCAGACTGTTTGCTCTTGCCAATGTAAATGTGTATGAATCCAACTGCACCCCTAAGATGGGCATGATTTTTATGGTGCCATCCTAACTTTGTGCAAATGTACAGCTTATTATTTACCATTGAAGATGGCTGGAATTTGCACGCACAAAATCACGATGAGGGAAAGCAGAAGAGAGGATAATCCTGGGGCTTGCAACTATAGATCAACTGGAAATCTCCGTTCAGTAGGGTGCGAACATCACCTGGGGCCAGTAAACTGTCCTTCGAAATGAGATCAGGTGTTCTGCAGGGAAGAGTATTGCACATAACAGAGGTATGTGGTATAGCGTGCTCCTTGCCAAGCACCGAGCCAAATTAAAAGGCTGGAGCGAAGAAATACTTGAAGACAGGTTTTAGAACAGCTATCAGAGCAGTTTCTCACATGGCTCACGAGTATCTTTAAATACTTTAACTCCCTTTTA